GGGCCTCCTGGTCTTCCCCCTTGCTGATTTGACATATATCTTCCCCTGCCTTTCCCTCTAAAGCCCTGAGATGGTCTTTGATAGCCCCTCTGAGGCTGCCGCCATTGCTGTGTTTGTGCAGACGGTGGCTGATTATACTGTTGCTGTTGTGATTGTGGGAAGGGGAAAGTTTGTGGCTCAGCTTGCTGATAAGGCATTTGTTTAGCATTAGCTGATTTTTTCTTTTAATTTTGTGCTGAATCAGCATCACGGATCTGCGCCTTTAAGAGACGGACTTGAAATAGTTTAAGCTCCTCCTCTGTTTCTACATGATGTATACAACTAATGCAAATTAACCATCAACATGAAATATCAGATGAAATAATCAGCATTAAATACATCTGTATCAATAACCTAGATAATTAACAAAATCACAGGTAAATATGACTAAATCTATGGTTTAAATACTCTTATACTGCCATCTAGTGGTAGAACGGGTGAACACTTACTTTGCGTGTCCTTACAGGCTACACTCTGCGTTCACTAAATCAGCACAATACAGTGGAACAAGAAATATCAGTGCGAACAGCAACATTTATGTGAACACAAAAATGACTTTGATTAAACTATATCACGAACTGTATTGCATCAAACAATGCACCGATTCATCTTACTGTGTACATGGATAAATGAATTTTAAACTGCATGTAGTCAACTACTGTTGCTAATGAGTGAGAGGGAAATTAACCTGAAGATGATCGAAAGTCAAATTTTAAAACACGGATACAAAGAGCAGTGATTTATGCCGTAGATCAGTGCTCTTTGTATCCGGCTTTATTGGCCATGTATGCGTAAGTCTACATGGAATTTGACTCCGGTTTACACATTGCTCTCAACTTACATACATGGAATATACAATAAACAAGAAAAATATAAAAACAAGGACATTAAAGACAACAAAGGACAGAGAAAATAAGACAACATTTACCTATGTACCATATAAATATATAACGAAGAATATTTCATGAACATGAAGAACAATGACGGTGGATTTGGGATGTTAGTGTGGTGGTAATAGTGCAAATGGAGGTGCAGTATGTCTGATGAGCTGTCCCTGTGTCTGGTGGTTTTGGTGTACAGAGCTCTGTAGCGCCTACCAGAGGGGAGGAGGTGGAACAGCTTGTGTCCAGGGTGTGATGGGTCTGCAGTGATCTTTATATATTATCTCACTATATGTCCATTGTTGTACTTGTACCTGCACTATATATTTTGTCATTTACTGCATACATCTTGTCCCCCTAACCGCTTACATATTACTCGTTATTCTGTGTATTTCTTTGCACTTCACTGCATGGTTAGATGCCAAACTGTATTGTCACTGTACTTTGTGCAGTGACAATAAAGTTGAATTCAATCTAATGAGGATCTAAAATATGCATTGTCACCTGTAGTTAACACGTATTTTTGTTCCTTTAATATGGAGACATGGTGTGAGGGAGAGCGACGGATAAATAACAGTAATGTGGAAGAGACCAGAGAAGAGATGAAGGTGTCCATCAGGTTGAACCGGTGTTCCTCTCTCTCTCTCTCTCTCTCTCTCTCTCTCTCTCTCTCTCCCCTGACTTAAATCTCTGCGCGCTGATTCATGGAGGAAACAAAACTCACACATTGATGTTTGAGGCCTTCTCTCTCTCTCTCTCTCGCTTACAGATCTCTCTAAGCAAATAAAACATCCAAAACCTGTTTTAAACACAAGAAAAGGCGGTTAAAGACGATGTAATAACAGTTAGGAAATGGGTTGTAAAAAAAAAAGAGGAGGAAAGAAGGAAGGAGGGTAGCTCATCTGCCCGAACTACTCCGACAGCCCTGGCGGCATACCGTTCATTCAGTCACCGTGCACCACTCCTTCACAACTGCTCTGACTTCCGTTCAACTGGAGGAGTTAACAGCTGACAAATGCTGCTGCATAGGTTTTGGTTTCTAAGTCCATTTCAGATGCTGGATCTTGTTTTGTCTGCACACGCAAATGGGAAACTTTTGCAGGTGATGGCACACGGGAACTCCTTGAACGACTTTGAATACTAAACAAAGAGACACATTTAAATCTGCAAAACCAACAATCTCTGCTAAGGTCAGAGGGCCCGTTCCAACTGCCGGAAAAAAACAAGTCTGCTGGAGCTGAAGGCCCTCGGAAAATGTTGGAGAAGGCAAAAGCAACCAGTGTTCCAAACACAACATCAACATGTTGTATATTGTACATACAACAGAATGGCAGAAAGAAATGTTTCGACAGAATGCTGAAGATAAGATTCGAGAAAAGTCCTAAAAAAGAAGGATAAGTATAAATAAAAATAAATAAAATGTTAGTATTTTGAGGCCAGGAAACATTTTTAATTCAACCCGTATCTTGTTTTTGGGGTCATCCTTAAAAGCAAAAAAATAATAACGTGATTTTATGAGAATCACTGTTTTTTGAATTGATGCATGTATAACAAGTAAATTCACTCTTAACATACTGTTATTTATTAGAAGTGGAGTCATTTTCTCATAGACTTCTATACAACCAGACACTACAGAGAATGCAGCTTTAAGGCACTTTCAGCTTTGGCTTCATTTTTCAGAAAGAGGTTGTCGCCTGTTTTCTACATTTGTAATTATGTCAGAAAATAATCAATACAATCAATATTTGAAGGACAAATATTTGGTTAAAGTAATAAACAGTTCTATTGCACATGATATGATTACTCTCTGTGTCAACAGAAAGTACTGGGCATGTGTACTTCTGTCTCCTGTGTGTTATCATTTTAAGGTTTCAGGTGTTTCGAGAGGCCAGTTAGGGGATCTGCATGTGTGTGTGTGTGTGTGTGTGTGTGTGTGTGTGTGTGTGTTGGGTTGATTACAAAGACAAGAGAACAGTGGAGAAGCAGGAGAGGGTTGTAAACACGCACAGCAGGGAGGCAAACACTGATATCTAAATGAGTCATTTACATACTTACAGACCTTTATTTGTCTTTTTATTTCAAAATACTAAACAAAGTACTGACACTGCTTATCAATGACAGCATGGCTGAAACACATTCATACACTGTGGCAATCAGTAATCAGCAGATAACATGAGCTGTAGTTTACATAAGGAAGTAAGTAAACCGTTAATGTATACATTATATTCTTCATTGATTGATCTTATGCCACATTCATTTATTGGGATAAAACCCCTTGAGATGTACCATCTGGTTTCAGAGGGAGTCCCAAAATACATCACAATATGTGACAGAATAAATAAAAACATATAAATAAACAAAAAAAACAGACAAGAAACAAACAACATACAGTATATTATTTAATGAAAACATTGAAAAACATTACAACAATACACACAAGTTGGCCGATAAACAGTAGAGGGTGAGAGGATCACCAAATACATTCAGGTGTAAAGAGAAGGTAACACCATAAGGTATAAACCCTAAGTGACACACAGTGACAAACAGTCTAAAAATATTCAGATTTATATCTAAAACGTGAAAAAGTAAAGCAGCAAACCGTGTGACTTTTAGGCATTTAGGCTTTAAAAATGATTTCTGTCTGTCAACCAGCTGACCAGCTGTAATCTACATGCAGTGTTTTACTATTTAGGCTAATTGTTGGGTTCTTGTGTGTCTCCAGTGGCGAATAGTCAGTGATCCATTGTTGGGGAAAAAAGTAATGAATTACAGAACTGCTCATCACTCCTTATTTTAATTCTCTTGTTATCACTCAAAAGAAAAGTAAAAAAAAAAGTTGTGAATACACAAGTTCTGTGTTTCATCCTCAAATGAATTCGATCCTTGAGACTTTGAATATCTTAAAGTAAAAGCTTATCAGGTGAATTCTGTATGAATATTTTGGATGTACCAACCTGTTGGCTCATTTACACACACTTCCCTCATGATTCTGATATTTCCTGCAGGACATAAAGGCAACACTGAGACAAGGGAAGTTTTTTTCAAAAGTTTGATACTCCAAATAAAGATATACTTTTTAAAAAGAGTGAACATGTGTAACTCAAAGAACAAGCTGTATGTGTCCGATCCTGGCCGGATTTCACTCCAAACCTGGAAAAGAAGTAGAGTGTAAGTAACTGTGAAGCAAAAGTTTTTAAGGTCTACAGTATCAGGAAATATATATAGACGTAAATGTGAAAATAAATGATGTGAATGACCCATGCAGACCTCCCCAGAAACCCTTTTATAATATTTACATCTCTAACATGCAGCTCACACAGTATCCACTGTGCACGACCCGACAACATCAGTAAATTGTAAAGAAAGATTCATGATACTGATGATACATGTAAAACTACATTCCCATGAGCCATGGGTGATCATTTACTGTACAACAAAACACCCACATCAGCACAAAAAACAGCTTCTAATTACATGTATAAGCCCATGTGATGGAGCATCCTCTCTGTCTGCGCAAACCTGCAATGAAATTGTATTTGAATCATTGAAATGTTCATTTATATGGTGCATTAACCCCCAGAGAGAGAGGCCTCGTCCAGGATGTTAAACTGACAAAGGATACTGACACTTGTTTTAAGCCGAGTTGAAGAGATGCATTTCATATCATCTGAGTGATTCATAGTTAGTAGCATGAAAACAAAAACAAAAGACAAGATGGTTAACTTCCGCTACCTGTTACCTGTGTCTAGAAACAACAGATACGTCTATTTATATTCTAATCTGGAGGCTGTTATTTACTGGATGAGGTTATAAAACATAACCCAGGCCTTATTAGCCTTTTTTACTGCTGTGCTGATGCACCAGGGGGACTCCACTATGTCTTCTTGTTGTACAAGAGCTCTTCACCCCCCTCCCTAAACTATCTTTCTCCCTCAATAATGTGCACCGTTCTCCACACCTTGGAGCGGAATGGAGAAGAGGTGGGGAAAGAAAGCGGAAAGGCAGAGAGACAGAGCGCGAGAGAGTACGGAGGGAGGGGTAAACCGGTTCAGCAGGTATACAGAGAGGCCTGACCCAGTCTCTCCCCAGCCCTGTTGTCACCGTTATTTCTCACGCGCATGCGCGTTGGCGCCTGTTTCCTGCTTTTCAAATGAGTACCTGTGCTGCGTTTTTTTGGACCCACCTCTGACTGACTGTGTGTGTGTGTGTGTGATCAGGATATAATCCTCCGTTTTTTTTCTCTCCCCTCAACCCGCTCTCTCACCCACTCCCGTTATTTCAGAGCGCTGTAGGTGAAATCCGTCTTTACCTGTCCGAGGTAGCACACCTGAGCGGACTCACCTGTCCACCGAAACACGTCTCTTTCCTTTTTTTATTGAGTGCTGCAAAGAGAATCGGGTAAAGTGAAAGGTGTGTACGGACACAAAATAGGAGATTAAAGCGGGACCAAGTTTGCGAAACGAGAAGAAAGGTGTAAGGAGGACGGAGAAGAAGGGACCGACACCTTCCATTTTTTTTCTCCTTCCAACTTTGGAGTTTCCTGCTTTTGTAACTTTTAGTTGACTTCACGTCGCGACAAGCGACTTCGCTACCAAACTCCAAATAAAAGGACCGAGTATTAATTAATCATGCCGAAGACCTTTCTGGTGAAAAAGTCGCATTTTTCGCCGGTGAAGCGAAACTGGAGCGAACTCCCCGATCATGAGCGAGGCGACGTCTACGTCCCAGGTGAGTCCACGCCGGTGCAATGAGCCATATTTTTTTTTTTTTTCAAATAAAATATCAAACCACCAAAGCCCAGGCGGGTAGCGGGGTCCTGACGCGTCTTTGGGTGCTTTTACGCACGGATTTGTGGATTTCATGCGGTTTTGGATCCACCAGGAATGTCAGTGTGGCGGGTGGGGAGGGGGGTCGGGTTGTGATTGTGATTGTAACGGGTCGGCTGCTGTCCGGGGCCACCGAATAACGGGAAACACAGCGGGCCGTGAAGAGAGTGTAGTTCCCGCATGAAGGGGGATGTTTTTCTTTTGTCTTGTTCAACCTTCATTTTAATGTTTTGTTTTTGCGTTTCAACTTAGAAATCCGACTTAATTGAAAAAATATATAAATAAAGTTTTTTCAAACTTCACACAAAACACATATCAGAGCAAAAGCTGGTATGTTTGCTCTTCTATTTTTCATATCTGCCGTTGTGTTGCGGCCTAACAAACTATCACAAGGGCCCGTTGCTTTTCACATATCGACCTTCAACCCCTGATTACAGCGTTCTTCCTCATGCTTAGCACTTCATTGACTTACGTAGCCCAAATAAAGGCCTATTATGTATTATATGACGTTCAATTATGTATTCTTTTTTTTATTTAGTTAAAATCTTTTGAGGCCTAGTGGGTTGTGATTTTGGTTGTTACAGTTATACCCAAGTTGTCCTCACATCCTTAAAAAAAGAACTCTTCTTCAGACTTGTTGGATCAGTAGCCCACTCATATGATGATATTTCACAGGAAATACCGTTTTATTGAATTGGGTGCCCCAACTGAAAAACGAACAAGATCCGACATGTTGTTAACTGTCAAATTTGAGCTTCATGCTGTGTTTGGCCCCAACTTTGCATTTAAATGACACGCAAAGGGAGTCCACCCCTTCCCCAACAACTCCTCTTGACAACAGTCTCCATTGTTGCCGTCGGCGGAGTTTTTATTGTAAGACCACGTCGGTATCAGATAACAAGTAACGGACTACACCCTAAACCTCTTTCTCGCTCTCTCTCCCCCTCCCCCTGTCTCCTATTCTCCACATCTCATCACCGTTAACTTTTAATCATTGACTTTTACATCCTCTCTGGTGTTTGAAACCGGAACATTTGGACGAACTGAACTGCAGGTCGTGTTGAGGTGGTTTTAAACAACTAATAATTCTGTCAAATAACAGTCAATAATCTTAATGGGAGCATGCAGGTGATTCTGGAATCATCAACTAATGTGATACGCTTTTGGAATCTAACTTTACGCATATAAAATAGACAATTACCGATTTCATAGAGCCACATCTACTTGTTTATCTCTGTTAACTCTGGCTTTTAACCACTGTTGATCTATCCAAAATGAGAATCAGTCATATAAAACTTGATTTTGTCAATCAAAATATACAATTTTCCATGAGAATTTATCCGTAAGATAAAACAAAAACTGAGCGTCAGTGCGTAATTACGCGTAGTTAATACTCCTCACCGAACTCAGCAACTGTCTCAGCTCAAGTGTTTGGTATGTGCCGTTACTTGACGTACCTGCCTGACGTGTGCTTCTATGTGCCGTGGACAGAATGAGTCACACAAACAAACACGCACAGGTATGATAATTGCAGTCAGAAACAGGCTTGTTGAATACCTTTGAGGTGCCAGATGCCATCAGATTGAAAAGTTTTGTGTAGGTGTATGTGGGTGTGCAGTGCGTAGGAGTTTATTTTTATCCCTTTATCCACAAACATGTGCCAGGGCCTGTTTCTGATGGATCATCAGTCCCTGATCCTCCTCTGACTTAGACACACGTAACAAGTGTATTTTATTATCACTCCCACCGGCTGCGTTATCGGAGATCTGGCACAACATTGCTCATAAATACAATACGAGTTTAATATAGAATAAAAAAGAGAAACTACAACAGGTGTAAAGAAGTCTCGCATAAGAAGAACCCAATTCAAATAAAAAATGTCCATAGGCGTTGTGGTGCGAGCCGGATGAGATGTGACATTTTAACTCTTATTACAGGTTTTTAAAGATAATATAAAAAATGTGATCTGCATGGGATAACCGAGGGGGTTCCAGTTTAAACTTCAAATAATTATAAGAACATGATTAAAATTAGAAATGGAAATTTGCTTTTGTATTCTTAGATTTTCACTTAACAAAAGGTTTTAGATACTAATAATGATGACGATAATAATAATATGATTTATAAAAGAAATACTTAATAGTCCAAGATTAAGATGGTTCTACTCTACCATTTATTTAATTTACAAGTTAAACACAACTTTAGTACTCTAGGATCCAAGGGGAAGACAATGTGATCATTTTATATATATATTCATATTATTTCACAGCTTGACCAATACTGGGCTTTTGAGGCCAATATCCTCATATTCAAGTTCAACAATTTGATTTTAATTTATAAATTCATAACATTTCAATATGGATGCTTAAATGTGGTTATTAAATGACATTTTGTGTTTATTATCTTCTGTTGACGAGAGTCAGATGACTAAGATCGATACCGCTCACATAAACTAGAGCGGTATCGGTCTCCTTTAACTTTTTGGCAACTACTCCGGGATGTCAGTTTATCGGTCGGGCTCTAATTATGTTTTGTGAGATCATTGTATCACACTGATGGTCTATCCTGAGGCTGCTGCGAGGTTAATGTTTATTTAATTGGAGGAAATGTAACGGAAGCCTACTGCGGCAGACCGTACGCCTTCAGCAAACACACACACACACACACACACACACACACACACACACACACACTGACAGACTCGCACCTTGTGTTTGTTAAAGCTATCTACCGATTGTTGACTCTTTGTCTTTCTCCCAACTGAGGGACGTTAAATGGATATAGAAATAAATTCAAGAAGTGCGTTTGGAACAACACAACTCGTTCTCTCTTCGACATGAAAACTCACCCTTCCTCCCAAACGCACACACACACACACACACACACACACACACATTTCATTTATTTCATTGGTGAGGGGGAAGGAGTGAACAAACAATACAAGATGAGATTAAATGTCCAGCCAGCAGCAGTCACCACAGAAACTATCAACACACAGGAATAAATTAGAAAGAGCTGAAATCACTTCAACAGTTTGTAACGTATAGAAACCATAAATGTGTTTGTATTAATGTTTTTTCCCACTAAATATCCGCTGTGTGATGCATTTTACTGGGACACCGGGCGAGATAGCGCAGTAAACTGAATATCTTTGAGTTGTGGACAAAACAAGACATTTGAGGACTTCATCTATGGAAACAGCGACTGCCATTTCAAACCGTTTTTTAACATTTTATATGCAAAACAACTAATCGATTAATCAACAGATTAACCGAGGATGATAACAACCGTTGCTTACTGCCCTACTTCCCTTCTTCGTTATTGATTGCCATTCAGAAGGCACTGCTTGTGTGTCGAATAGAAGCACATGAAAATATGTTGTTTTCCAGAGGACGCTTGCGTAACCAGCACGGGGAAGATTAAAACAGCGTTTAAATACTTGAAGTAGCTTCAGCAGCAGTGTCCCTCTTTTATGTAGGAACATTATTATAGCAATAATATGCAGATGACTGCAATAAGGCAGTACAACATGTTGGCATTACCTGGTTTATGCTTTGGTCAGATTCATTTTCATTTTGACTATATTTTGAGCTGTATTTTATTCAAACAATACCCAACTGAGTCACTGTAAAGTAAACTTATTATGGATATCCGTAGAGGCTGTGCGAGTGATATCTCTTTAAAAGGAGCCATCTTTTGCTGTGTGACAGCGTACCGTTATACCTCTGTTGCTTTACAGGTCGCTTGTTGTGCCTTTTCATCTTTTGCAGCTCGCTGTGGGGCTTAATTTGCATCTACATTTGAGTTTTATCTGATTGAGGCCCTGCAGAGTCAACTGATTCGTTGTCTTTGCTGAGCTGAACCACACCTGCCTCCGGGCTAACTGAATGCATGGCACAAAGACACGCACACACACCTGTCTGCTGCACTCTCAAAGGTTTCTATAACCCTACCTACATCTCTCTCCATCTCCCTCTTTGAGCTGTGTTTTGTTAGATTGTATACACACACACACACACACCCACACACACATAGAGAGGCATCATTGTTTGAGGAAGGCACAGAGCCGGTGCTGCAAGACCGTCTGGTCGGACAAGTCTAACTGTAATGGTAATGTGGTGAATGTGTGCGTGTGTGAGGAGGCATGTGAGGACGTGTATTATAAGTAGCACAAAACAAAAGGCCAAACATGTGCACACCCACACACCCAAATACATCTTTAACTCTGCATGTTTGCTAATTGAGAGATTGTGCAAATATAGAAACCGATGCACGCTGGCTGCACATTGTCAAATCCAGTAGTACAAGAAGAAACATCTACCTCGGTTTGCTTCTTTCTCTCCATGTCCCTCGTTCTCTTCCACTCTCTCCGCTGAAAGAGTGTTACATTTACAGCATTGCTTTATTTTCATGATATGTCCGTGCGTGGGATGTGATGTGTTTCCACAGTAGCTCCTTTTTTAGAATGATCAAATCACCAAAACAGTCTGTTTTTAAAGGAGCAGTCAGGCAGTTTAGTTCTCCATAAAGCTGGTTGGAAAATGGCAAAACTTGACTTTACCTTCAGTCCCTAGTAATCGGTCAATCTACAAAAACACTGGACCCTACATTTTCCCATAATGCAACTCAATAATCACTTAGTCATGCTGAGTTTCCAGTTGGAAGTTTCAACTGGAATACCGCCTAAAGTTGGAAAGTCGAAGGAACCCCACCAAGCATGGCCTCAAAATCCTAAATGGCTGCTCAACAGTAGATAAGCTGTAGTAATATGCTGTTTGTTAGCGCTTCTATCATATTTGTGTCTCATTAAATCAGTCATACATTCAGTACTGTCCGACTTCTATCTGTGGGCATGTTGCTAGGATGTTTGTACGCACAACATACCGACGTAATGCGTTATCAACTGGTATTGCTAACAATGGAAACCGAAGGCTAACCTGCCTGGAGCAAAACCCATTAAGTTGTCCGACTTGTACTGGAATGCAGTCAACTCGGGTTGTGACTTCTGATTTCTGAGACTTTCTTTAACTCCACACCCTGTTACTCTGAAATCACAAAACTTCTCTAACATGACGTAGTAAACTGAACTTGGCCTTCAACATTTTTACGGATCCTTATTTTTCCAACGATCAAAATCGTACTCGCAATCATGATAATAAACGTTTTTCATTGACATCCACCATGTGTCCAAAAACATGACTCCAAACGTGTTTCCGCTGCTCCCAAGTGATCCCAAAAAAAACCCAAATTGCTGCAGGTTGAAGAAGAGACTTGAAAGGTGACACTGACTCTTCCCCTCTCTCCCTCCAGTCTCCATCTACCCTTCGCCCATCCTGATGATGGAAGCCGAAGCCAGCCCCGCCGAGATGACTCCGCTCTGCCTCACCAAACAGTCTCTCTCCGACACGCAAACACACGCCGAGCTGCCGTCCAGCACGATGCTGGGCCGGCCACAGAGCCTGGCGCCGTCATCGGAGGGGAGGTCAGATCTCAGGAGGAGGACGCAGGGTGGCTCTACATTCGTCCGGTCCAAAATGAAGGTGAGGAAACGAGCAGTGGCTGCATTTTAGGACCTTTATCACGAGATATTTTGACAAATTTATGCTGGTTTCTTCTTTCCCAAAATGAACATTAATAGATAATATAATATGTACTTCCAAGGTGTGAACCATAGAAATAAAGTTGTAGTACGACGTGTGCCGTCACCATAACTAACAACTCGCCATTTTCTTTTGTACTAGTCAAATGAGCACGGAAAAAAGTGCAATGTCCGCCGTTCTATTTCTATGGTGTGAGCTGAAATGCTGATGTTTGATTTGCTGCACATTTGCAATCAGAAGGGAGGGTGTGGGGAAACACAACTGACATATATTGCTCACTATTTCATGACTGCTCCCCTGAAACTGGTGTGTTTTCTTTCTTATTGAACGGCTTGATTTGTATAATTTCAAATGCGACATTGTCAAATTCTGATTTCATATTTAAATTAAATGATTTGTGTTAGATTGCAGCTCAGTGTGTCACTTAAACTGGTGTATATTAAGTAAAACAAAGGCTTTATAATTGTTTTGTAACATAAATATCAATATTTTCTCTCCTCCACAGATAACCACAGGCGATTTACACCCCGACCCCTCTCCTCTCCCCCTCTACCTCCCTCCCATTCCCACCCTGACATCCCTAACGCCAAACGCCACCGAGATGCCAGTTGCCTCGACGACAAACCCGGAACCCATGGAAGCGGTCTCCATGGTGACCAGATCAACAGGTCAAAGTCAGAGTTTGTTGACGGGGCCGACGGGGACCTACGTGTGCCAGGTACGTTTGTTCTTTATTTTTGAATTTAGAAAAACCTTTTTAAAATCGGACATCAATGTAGTGGAATATTGGGACATTTACCGTGAAACATTTCCAATTAAACAGTACTATGGTATACTTTGGTATACTATGGTGATGCCTGCACACTGACTCCAGGCAACGCAATTTCATAAACGTTAAAGTTTTGATCCAAACCTTTCACCTTCGTGAGTTGCAATAAATAACAGCCCTTCATGTGTAAACGTGTGTGCAACAAGTACGCGCTAAAAAGTTATTTTTCTTTTAAAGCAAAAAAAAATATCCACATCTTGCATTATTCTTGATTGTAGGCTTCGAGTATACACACAATGCCTTTTGATGGGGAACACTGAATGTGAACAAACTTTGTTTGTATCGTTGTTACAGGTTTGCCAGAAGACCTTCTCGTACCAGCGAATGTTGAACAGACATCTCAAGTGTCACAATGACACCAAGAGACACCTGTGCAGCTTCTGCGGCAAGGGCTTCAACGACACCTTTGACCTGAAGAGACACGTACGCACACACACAGGTAGCTTACACGTTTTCTTTTCGCACGTGCATAAACACAAATGTAATAGATGCAAGAATATGATATTTTTCCGTGTTTTCAAAACAGGCGTCCGTCCCTACAAGTGCACGCTCTGCGAAAAGGCCTTCACCCAGCGCTGCTCCCTGGAGTCCCACATGAAGAAGATCCACAGCGTCACCCAGAAGTACGCCTACAAGGAGCGACGCAACAAGCTGTACGTCTGCGAGGAGTGCGGCCTCACGGCGGGGACTCAGGATGAGCTGCTGATCCACCTCCACTCGCTTCACCCTGACAGCGCCCTGTTGAAGGGGAAGGCTGCAAGGAGAGCTGAAGGAGGAAGAGAGGATGAAGGATCATCGCCAGGCTCTCCTCAAGGAGCGGATAGTGATGATACCTCTGGATCAGCAGGGCAGTAGAGGGGAGGGGAGCCTCAGGACATAAGGACCTATAAGTGAAGATACAATTCAGATTACATAGCAGTGGGGAAAGGAAATGTGTATATACTGTATATGTATGAATGTGCGTGTGTATGGATTTGGGATTCTCTATCACAGACTGCCGCTTTAAATGAAATGCACCAAAAAAGGCCAAGTCTGACTTTGACTAGCATAGGCCACATTCTTTTACATGGGATTGTAACGTGAGCTCATTAACATGTCCGACAATATCAACATTGTTTTCTTAATCTGTATTGAATGTAAATATTTCCTGTGGGCGTCTTTGTACAGCAAAAAAAGAGAAACGATTTTTTACTTTGTTCATTAAAAGGGAGTAATATATTACAAGATAATTCATTTTCTTATCTTTTTTTAAAGTGCTTTTAATGTAAACTACAATACAGATGCATTCTGGTTCAACGGCATTGGAAGTGAGCTGTGTGACATGTTAGAAAGAACAATATTGCTGGATAATGAGGCCCGTAGAAATAGGAAGAGTAGAATAGGTTTCACAAACAACTCAACGTAGCAGGATGGTCAGAGCGGCGGCCATTGTTCTTGTAGCGGGTTCACTTTTCTGACATTCTGCAAATTTGCAGACTCTCTTCTAATTTAGAGCCTGCATGTCTGCTGAAGCGGACATTTTTTTCTTTCCAGCACAACTCTAAAGTCTGTACAGTGAACATACAGCCACTACTTAGTCATAGGTTAGCTTAGCTTAGCTTACCACAAAGACTGGAAACAATGAAACGGCTACCCTGGTCCTGTTCAAGAGTAGCAAAATACAACTACCGGCACCTGTAAGGCTCATTAATTAACACTTTTTTATCTTGTTTGTTAAATATGCACAAGAGACTCCAGGAAGAGTCTGCACCCAGCCAAGGAAGAGTCCTGCAGTATTTCTCTAAATATCCTAGAGCCAACCAATTAACCAATCTGTTGACTTATCGCTGCAGTTTTTTGGGGGGGATTTGATCCTATACCCTATATACCTGCCATAAGAAATAATACTCAAGTATCTCTATATAGATGCTTCTGTAGGTCACATAATCCTGTTAGTTGAAAATGCAACGCTGTTGAACAAGCAGACCATGCATTCCAGTTGCATGTCCTAACAATAACAGGTGCATGCAACAGTGCATTGATATTCATGCATGCGTGTGCATTGTCAAGACTTGATATATTAAAATGCATTGTGCTATAACAGTGGCAGCGTTAGATCAACTGACAAGCACTCAGTTAAACTTCCAAATTTCTCAAATTAGTGGGTGGTGGAAAGGTAATAAGGACAAGCATCACAAGCACAGCATCTGAGTGACCGAAAAGGATGACCGAAAAGGTTGTTACAGGCACAAAAGGAATTCTTGGTATGAGTGTTGACGTATTGTTAGCTGTAAATCATGTGGTCACATGGGGAAATATGTTCGGTAATGAAAAATCAGAGGCATGTCATTCCATCCTCTGAACAAATCCGCCGAGTTTTTCAACATTAATGTGTCTTTACAGCCTCCGCAGCCATCTTTCATTTGAATACAAACGTGTGACTTACTTACGCTTTACACTGCCCTTTCAAACTCTTTGAGTGCATGAAAGATGGCTGTTGTTATGCATTAATTGTGCTACTCCCCCCCCCCCCCAAACTTCTGACTGTGTTTAAGTAAGAGAGCGGTTGTGGTTTGGAGGGCGAGGCTGGATTCTTGGTCTCTGTTGGGTCTTGTTGGAGGAATCCTGCAACCGCCCTTCAGCCTAAGGAAACAGGCTAGCGGATTAGATAACGGTCTTGGAAGTTAACTGACACTGATTGTATTAAAGAGGCCCAAAACTCACAGGGTCAGGTTCACCAGCACAATCCATACATTTTACCCGTGCTTCTGCTTTTGGTTGGTCCACCACTCAACAACTATTAGAGACAATCATTGTTCCCACAGGCCTGAATCCTGACTTTTGTGATCCCCTGACTTCTCTTCTCGCCCCACCATGACATTGACATTTGTGGTCTTTAGGGAAATGCCTCAGCGTCTATTGGATGAATTGTCATGAGCTCATTGAATTGCCAGAACCATCTATGCATTGAGAGAGTAGAGAAGAAGAAAAAGTGGTGTTCCTTTACCCCACGAGCTACTCAAAGCAGTGGCCGTTCCTGTACCACAGAAGCCATCAGTCGTGGCTCCAATCAGACCGGTCTCTGAACCAGCAGGTTAAATCGGCTTCCGTCACGCCCACTCCAGTGAGCCAACTCCAGTGAGCCAACTCCCACGATTCAACCAATGCAGTAAGTCTCCACGCCAGTAGAAACAGAAACAGTTCTTCTTGATCTTTCCCTTCAGCCTCCGCTGCTGCTGCTGCATTGTGGGAATCGAGGAATGTTGCAGGCGTTTCGTTTTGAAAGTGTATCCTTTTGTTGTTTGAACATTTAATTTGTTTTTGTTAAGATGACTACCATGTTTATTCCAATGCCGAAACCGTTGCCAAAGGCCTCGGGCACCGGCACATAGGCCTTGGCAGAGTCTTCTCTCTCTGCTGGGCTTAACGGCGCATGTGCCTCATGAGCTTAACCTGTAACAATGAGTTGAAGCCTCAGAGTACGTTCAGTGTCTGGCCAATTAAAGGTATTCAAACAAACGTTGGGATCCTTTTTGACAACAATCTGAAATTGGTGCCGATGTGAGACCCAGAGTAAGATTCATTGGGTCCCACACTTTCCCCACTTGAACCCTCATCCAACTAGCTCCTTACTGAGGTGTAATGTGTGTAGTTCCAACTCTAATTTGCTCTGTTTTGAATTTCTGGCTTTGAAGCGAGACGCCACCCCGGTAGGCTTGGTATTTTATTAAAACTCTGTGGATTTACTAACGGTGTGTGTGTGTATACAGTATGTGATAAGAACTATTTATTTGGTGTTTGTGCATAAAGTTATGTTGCTAAAATAAAACATTTAGAAAAGTTTATATAGTTTTGAATTAAGTTTGAGAGGGATCTAATATATTCTGTGTTTTATGTATATGATTTATGTAAATAGTTTCGACAGTACAGTGCAGTACTGTAGATGTACAGCATCCTGACTCCATGCTGAATGTATAATAACGTTCGTCATTAAAGTGCGCCCTGTCCCGCCTTCTTTTCCGGTGACGTGCTGACGTCAACCCGGAAGTGCGCCGCGTCTTTGAATACAAGGCGCCAGCGCCCAGCTGCAAACTCGCGAGTTAAAGGTGAGTACAGACACGACATACTGTAATAATTATCTGTAAAATCTTCCGACACGTGTTGCTTACTACTTTTAAATATGGTGGCGTATCAAGGACAACGTTGACATGGCTAATTAGGGTCTGCTAACGTTAGCATACGTTAGCTTAAGTTGCAGGACCCGGTTGTTATTATCACGTGGTGTGTTCGTATTCCACCAGTCCACCGCCTCGTTGCTCTCTTGTCAGACCCAAAGGGATGCCAGCTTCGGAGCCGGTCCGGTTGGGTCGGAAACGGAACCTGCCATCCTGTCCGAACCCGCTGTTCCTCGCGTGGCTCACTGAGCTCCGGGACCAGGCGAGAGAGAAGGGACTGAAGATCCAGTTCACGTACCAGAAGGTATTTATTGTATACTCTGTTCACTTCAGGGGCTGTTGTGTGTGTGTGTGTGTGTGTGTGTGTGTGTGTGTGTGTGTGTGTGT